GATTGTAGGTCTGTACGGGACAAAGGTTGTTTGGGTTTTTTTCGTGTTTTTAGGTTGTTGTTTTTTTACCTAAGAGTTTTACCCTCCCTAACATATTGCACTATTAGTGTACACGATATTTGAAATCAATGGTTTCTGGATGAAAATATTGAAAGGGTATTAATTAAAATGTATTACATGTGTATGAATTAAATATACTATTCGTTTATGAATTTTAGGAATTAAACTTAATCTTATTTTATGGAAGTACATTTAAAGTGTAAAAATGAAATTAATTTAAATGTTGCTTTTGAAGTTAAAAGTAATGTTCATTGCAGAGCTCATATTTTAAACAATTTATTAGCGAGTGTCCTCGTTTTATAGCCATTTTCATTGTTTCTATAAATAGTAGTTACTATCCTAGTGTCTCATTTGTATTTACTTAGTTTACATGTTTTAATATTGTAAAGCGCTTAGAGCTTTATGATAAGCGCTATATAAAAATGCCTAAATAAATAAATAAATAAAATATAAACTATTATATAATAAATATTTATATTTTCATGATTTCTTAATAATATATACTTCGTGATTTCGTAACATTAGTTCATCAATTACTTAAACAATGTTTTTATATAGTTATTAGTCGTGTATGTAAACGAATTATATATGTGAAAGATTTAATGCAATTATTTGTAAATCATTTAAAACAAGGGTTGGGAAACCACGGCCCATGGAACAAATAAAGGCCACCGCCTAAAGGGATACGTTTGGCATTTCATAGATGTTCCAATAGCTCATGGTACTTTAGATATTCTAATATCTCATGGTACTTTAGATATTCTAATATCGCATAGTACTTTGGATGTTCTAATATATCATTGCACTTTAGATTTTCTAATATAGCATAGTACTTAAGATGTTCTAATATGTCATAGTACATTGGATATTCTAATATCTCATTGTACTTCAGATGTTCTAATATCGCATAGTACTTAAGATGTTCTAATATCGCATAGTACTTCGGATATTCTAATATCGCATAGTTCCTTTGATGTTCTGATATCGCATAGTACTTTTGTTCCTTCAGTACCGTAAGCGGCTCTGCTACAGATTATGCAAAGTACTTGTTGTGTACGCTAGTGACAAAATAAAGCAAATCATTTACAAGAGCATATCTTTACAACATCCCAAAAATGCCACGACTGCAACATGATGACGTGCAGTAACTAACTGAGGTTCTTCAGTATTCCAACCTACAGCACAGCAAACACGGGACACATAATATTTGCGTCGGTTGGCAATAGGAAGTCAATGCAAATCAATTAAGCCTTAAAAAATGACAACCCTTTAAAGAAAATGATTTTTTTTTTTTAAATTAAATACAATGAATGAGATAATGCCTTAATATTTTAAGTAGGGTAAGTAGTTGAGAGAGATAGTTGCTTAATAATTTAACAATGATAAGCAGTTAAGACAAATGACACGTTGAATTGGATCAAATTTGAGAACCGCCGCCGTGATATGAAAGTGAAATTGAAAACCCGTCCAGGAGTGATGACGTTATCCCAGAAACACGAGAAGACACTCGGGTCTCACCATGTCAGTAGTGCAACACTTCCGGTCCAAGAGGAAAGAAGTCTGGCCAAGAGAACCTGTGGAGAACTCTTGGACGTTGCAGTTCTCAACGGGGGCTGTCTTAACGCGTGGCTCCATTGTCGACAGCCTTTCATCGTCCTTTAGTAATTAGAAACATCCAGAAACACGAGACGACTTGAGTTTGACACCAAACATGCATCAAATAGGAAGGTAGAGATGATTTTTTTAACGAAATTCTTGACATAAAATTAGGTCATTGAAACTATTTTTTTCTTTGTTTTTCTTTTTTTTTCCCCCTGCGGTTAGAAAGATGGTTTCTATGTATACCACTAAGGGTGGGGGAGGAGGTTTGTCCCCCTAACGAAATAATTACGTCATCAGCACAGAAAGACGCATGGTGAGCTACAGTGTGTTGGCTCTAGGTCAAATATGGCCACAGCAATATCTAGCCAGCCCCCCCCCCCCCAACGCACGCTGTCATACGCATGCTCAGTGCTTTCGTGACATACATATGGCCCCTTACGTTGACAGGGTACAAGAGTATGATCATATATTTGTTGGCGTATGTTGCATATAGATGTCTATTCATCTGGTCAGCTCTGCCATCCAAGTTTGGCCACACTCACGGACGTGCACAATGCATGGATGATTTGAATCTCAAATTTTAACATTTTCAACTTCCAGTTTTGTTCCGCCCTTCGGCTGAAATCAGAAAATCACATTTCGTCGGTCTCTAAACTACAATAAGCAAACAGGAATCACTGTGACTGGTACATTGTATGCTATTATTACCCCAGGAGGATTTATAATTTTTTTTTATTAAATAGACGATGTGTCACTAAACTACTATAGGATATCAGAGACTGCAGTTACTTGTACATTGTATGGTGCTGTACATCCAAAAGTATTTATAATTTTAAAAATAATTAAAAGATGCTGCGTTTTTAAACTGCAATGAGATATCGGAAATTGCAGTCAATTGTACATTGTATTACGGTACTTGTACATCCAAAAAGATTTATGATTTTAAAAATAATTAAATAGATGCTGCGTCACTAAACTGCAATGAGATATCAGACATTGCAGTGACTTGTACATTGTATTACGGTATTTGTACATCCAAAAGTATTTATGATTTTAAAAATAATTAAATAGATGCTGCGTCACTAAACTAAAATGAGATATCAGACATTGCAGTGACTTGTACATTGTATTACGGTACTTGTACACCCAAAGGATGCGTGATTTTTAAAAAAAAATTAAATAGATGCTGTGTCACTAAACTGCAATGAGATATCAGACATTGCAGTGACTTGTACATTGTATAACGGTATTTGTACATCCAAAAGGATGTATGATTTTTATTTTAAAAAATAATTAGATGCTTTGTCACTAAACTGCAGTGAGATGTCAGACATTGCAGTGACTGGTACAGTGTATGGTGCTAGGAGATCAAAAATGATTTATAATTTTTAAAAATAATAAAATAAAAATGTGCGTCTCTGAACTGCAATGAGAAATCAGAAATTGCAGTGATTGGTATATTTTATGCTATAAGTACACCTAAAATGATTTATAACGAAAAAAAAAGTAATTAATTAGACGTTGCGTTGACTGAGTACTGTATAGTCCAAATTCAATATTCTCAATCGCTTGAGCATCGTTTCATGTTTAGTTTCACATGGTATTTCCGCCCATTTTCTTTCTTTTCTTAAAACCTATTTTTGGAGATAGGATATATATATTGTTTATTTTTGTTTTACTTATGAAGGTATTAGCCTAAAAAGCCTCAAATGGGTCGTTATCTTAAGTATAACTTTACCGTTTCATCTACGAAATTTTTTTTTTTTTTTTTTAATTTCCCTTTTTTTCGTGGCTGCCTTTCAAAATCTTCGGGTGGCTTTACCGTTTTATCTTCGAAATTTTTTTTTTTTTTTTTAATTTCGCTTTTGTTCGTGGCTGCCTTGCAAAATCTTCGGGTGGCCGATTGACCTACTTGCCGTCAACTTGAGGAAATGTGATGCCAACGATTTCACGAACTAAAATTCCCGATAGCTGCGCTAAATGAGATTCTTCTTCTTTAAATATCGCAAGAGCGTTTTCTTTTGTTATTTCTTTAGTTGGTGGTGGACTAAATGTGCGATGTGAAGGCGGGTGGGTCTGTAGAATGTTAATATATTTGGTGGCATTAAAAATGTGCTGTTGCGAGCCTCGGTTGGGGGGGGGGCACTAATTGGGATTTTTATAAGGTGTGTTCCTTGTATGAATGTTTTATTAAATTTTCAACCCCATTGCCCCATGGCTCCATTGTTCCATTGCCCCATTGCCCCATTGCCCCATTGCTCGATATTATATTTTATAAAGGATTTATAGGTTGGGGGTTGTTTAATTAATTAAATCGTTTTTAATCTTTCCCAAAGATGCAAGTATTTTTTTTAAAATAATATGACTATCTTTGCAATAACGTTTTTACTGTGTAACAATTGCTGTATTATTATGTGGTAGCATCTGAGTATCCACATTCACAGACGTCAATGATGACTTAGAAGCACGAGGCTAGAACTTGATGAATTTCGCATCACATATTTATTAACAGAATCTACATACACCCACAGCATGAAATAATATCTCTAGAAAATAGAGCTAACGTAGTTGTCATATAACTTCTTCCACTCAGATCTGTTGAGTCAAGATTAAGATGTTGTTTGATATACGAGAGCGAATTATTTTAAAATAGTCCCCTCGCTTCTCTGCGCATGGCGTACAATATCTAAGTAACTTCCCGAACAATACCTTATCCGAAAAAAAAATTATTATCTCAATACTTGATCTGTGACAAATATTTTTTTAAAAATGTTCAATGAAATACACTATAATAAAAAATTCGCACTAAAGCAGTTGTAACTGTTATCTAAATTCAAAGAAATATTCGTAAGTTTAATTTTCAAAGAGAATTATAATTCGATAAAGTAACCATTCAATATTAATTTTATATCATGTTTTTTCCTCTTAAAAAACATTGCCACCCATGAAATGGCAGATGAGCAATTGATGAGAACTGTTCAGAGCCGTGTCAGTAAATTAGTGGAGGGAACGTTGAATCAATGACAACTTCACTGATCGATATTGATATAAACTATAGTTTGATAGCGTTATGTTTTTTTTACAATATTTTAAGGCCTTCAGTTTTGTCATGTACCTACTGAAATTATTTAGGGATAAAGAATGGAGAATCAAATGTGACAATTTCAGTCTCAAATTTTGATTATTCTTAAACCCCAATTTTTATTTTTTAAAGACCCTCATGCACAAAGTATATGGACGAGGTATTATTGGTGACCTTCCCTTGTGGTGACAGCCGAGTGTCTTGCGTCCAGTACCAGGCCCGCGTTTCGCCTCGGCCCGTGCCGCGTGTGGTACTCGGGGAATAGCTTAGGACACTTTCTAACTCGATGGTTGGCCTGTCTCTAGGAGTCACTTTGTTTGTTTGTTTTTTCCTCTATAACTTATTTATTAATCATTAGTGTTTTTTCTTCAGTCTTTCAATGGAATTCTAGAGCCTCAATAATTCAGTGTATTTATTTTTTTTAAAAACTTAAAATCGTGTTGAACGCCATAGAAGTAAATGAAGGGGTTGATGCTCAGATCTGACGCTGTCGTCCAGCACCTCGGTGTCTCGCGTACCGCAAGTGACTTGTCCACCAAAAGGTAAGTTCATTCTAAGAGCATCTTTTGACATTTATAAAATGGTCTCGGTCTTTCTAAGACGTTATTGGTCTTCCTAAGACAGTCCTGGTCATTCTAAAGTAATCCTTGGTCATTCGAAGACAGACTTGGTCATTCTAAGATTTCATTGGTTATTCTAAGACAGTCTTGGTCACTCTGAGACAGTCTTGGTCACACTAAGATAGCCTTGGTCATTCTAAGACAGTCTTGGTCACTCTAAGATAGTCTTGGTCACACTAAGAAGTCTTGGTAACACTAAGACAGTCTTGGTCACACTAAGAAAGTCTTGATCACGCTAAGACAGTCTTGGTCACTCTAAGACAGTCTTGGTCACACTAAGAAGTCTTGGTCACATTAAGACAGTTTTGGTCATTCTAAAATAATCCTTGGTCATTCGAAGACAGTCTTGGTCACTCTAAGACAGTCTTGTCACACTAAGACAGCCTTGGTCATTCTAAGACAGTCTTGGTCACCCTAAGACAGTCTTGGTCACACTAAGACAGTCTTGGTCACGCTAAGACAGTCTTGATCATTCTAAAGTAATATTTGGTCATTCGAAGACAGTCTTGGTCATTCTAGGATAGAAATGGTCATTCTGAGAAATCTTGGTCATTCTAAGACAGCCTTGTTCACTCTAAGACAGTCTTGGTCACACTAAGAAAGCCTTGGTCATTCTAAGACAATCTTGGTCACAGTAAGGCAGTCTTGGTCACTCTAAGACAGTCTTGGTCACACTAAGACAGTCTTGGTCACACTAAGACAGTCTTGGTCATTCTAAAGTAATCCTTGGTCACTCTAAGACAGTCTTGGTCACACTAAGACAGCCTTGGTCATTCTAAGACAGTCTTGGTCACTATAAGACAGTCTTGGTCACTTTAAGACAGTTTTTATCATTCTAAGACAGCCGTTGTCATGGTAAGAAAGTCTTGGTTATTGCCTTTTTTTTATTTTCAACTTTGGTGATTCTCTGTAGGTGAATGATTTTTTAAAACATAATTGTCTTTAATACGCAAGATATTTGTTTCATTTAACACATTTTCGTAAGTGATGTTTAAACTAAAAATTAATGCCAATTTTTGATTTAATTTCATCAAATTTCTCAAAATGTGACGTTTCTTAATGTAAAATAACTCAAATTAATGACAGTCGGTTCGTCATTACCAACAACCGGATATTTGTCTTAAGCCCGGTTAGAATAAATAAGACTTTCGTTTTAAAATCCTAGTACAAAGTAATAACAATTTGTCAAGACAACAGGGGTGTGCCCAATTAAATGACAGTATGTTACAACAACAGGGGCGTTCCCAATTAAATGACAGTATGTCACAACAACAGGAGCGTTCCCAATTGAATGACAGTATGTCACAACAACAGGGGCGCTCCCAATTAAATGACAGTATGTCACAACAATAGGGGCGTTCCCAATTAAATGACAGTATGTCACAACAACAGGGGCGTTCCCAATTGAATGACAGTATGTCACAACAACAGGGGCGCTCCCAATTAAATGACCGTATGTCAAAACAACAGGGGCGTTCCCAATTAAATGACAGTATGTCACAACAACAGGGGCGTTCCCAATTAAATTACAGTATGTCACAACAACAGGGGCGCTCCCAATTAAATGACAGTATGTCACAACAACAGGGGTGTTCAATTAAATGACAGTATGTCACAAGTACGACGGCAGTACCAACCATTAACATTTTTTTCCTAATACAATATTAACAACTGCACGGTGATACTTCTTATGACAGACATTGTACAAACAAGTGGCAATATGATACAAGGACTCTTTTGTATTTTCCAGTGGTATTTAGAAATACCGAACTCATAAAGTATAACATATTTTCCCCCAATAACATAGTTGTTAATATACCATAAAAATAGTATAGATTATGTGTTATATATACCGTAAAAATTTGATGTATTGTAGCATTGTAGTACAAAATTAGAAGATGCGATCATATGTCTACATACTTTGAGTCAAATATACCATCAGAGACCTTTGTGATACCTATAGATGGCTCAAAGAACAATAGTGTTGCTATAGGTAAATTTGGACATAACTAAATCAAATAAAGTAAACTGAACTTTAATAATGCCAAGCCTTTGCTTCCTTCTCTAAAGAAAAAACCAGGGCTAGTCAAAATTGACGCCAAAGCGTGACAATTAGTGGTTTTATTTTAAAAACCCTAAGCTTAAGTCCACATTCTGGAGATCAAAAGGAATCTATGGCCTCATGAAAACTTCAAAAAGTGGAAAATTAACAGATAACACATCATAAATCTGTTAAAGATATGTTTTGATATATTCAGTGCTTTTTTTTTTTTTTTTTGTAAAAAAATAGGTGCCGGTACTCAGTGATGAATTGCCTAATTTTTATAAAAAAAAAAAAAAAGAAAAAAAAAAAAAAAAAAAATAAAAAATTTTTTAAATTTTTTTTTTAATAAATTCATTGTTTTTTTTTTTTTTTTTTTGTAAAAAAATAGGTGCCGGTACTCAGTGATGGATTGCCTAATTTTTAAGTACCAGGAAAGCAGTTTCGCATTTTATATTTTAATTCTTATTGCGCGCAAATTTAAAATAATTCAATTTTAACAAATTAACAATATAATAAATTGATAATAAACGTTAAAATACAAGAAAGTAAAACTTTTTTCCCCACATTGAAAAAGGTGCCGGTACGCCTTACCGGTACGTACCGGCACAAAAAAAGCACTGGATATATTTATGTAGATGTATGTATTATATGTTCTACCCTCTCTGACAAAAAAGGTTATGCATGTCGAATATCTGTGATCTTATAGTGTTGATGATGTAGAGAAAGGCGTCAGTAAGAGAACGGTATGTTGATACATGAACATTTTCGGTAGTTGTCGGTGCGTAGCTTGTCTGTAGTGCAGAGTCATTATTTCCCCGGCGATTTACTAATTCGTAGAATCCCAATTCGGGTCACTTTGAACCTTACGAAATGAGGTCATGTTGCCACCCTGCTCAATGTATTATCCGGCCTTGAGTAGTTCTTAAAATTCTTGCAGCATCCTCTGTACCCCATCAAGGACATTCACCAAAAAATATCAGACACATAGATTATCATGTTTTTAAGAAATGTCGCATTCCAAAAACGTACATGTTTGTAAAAAAAATACAGTCACAAATAGCATATATGATTTTAAAAAAGCATATCTGACACATAAAACTTACGTCTGTACAAATTTCGACCACATATAACTCGTATGTTTGAAAACTAATCGGCCTCGCATTGCGTCTCTAAGAGAAAAGGTTGGGGTTTGTTTTTCAACATTTTTAAAGTTACCGTAATTAGTTAGCCCTGCTTTTAAAACAGATGGACGTTGAGAAGTTTAAGCAGGAATCTATAGAAGGTGAGTTTGTTCAAAAGATGTATCAACATAAGTTTATAAGAACAAAGACTTTATTTCCACAGTGCATACTGTGTGTACGATTATCATGTCATCAGGGCGCGGATAGATTTTTACTGTTTGCTAAAAAATCTAACAAATGCTGCGTGTTTTTTTGTTTATTCTAATAAAAATGTTGATAATATTTTATGCAAATTCTGACATTGTAACCCAAAGCATGGAGTTTACTTATGGCAAACTTATTGAAAATGAGGTCCATATTAGTATCATGCCATCATGATCAGTGGCACTACAGACCATGTATTGCACTGAACTGCTCCACCCTCGTCTTTCCATTCGGGTCGATCCAGGGCTTTTCGTCTCCATGCGCGGGGCCCCAGCTGAAGTAACCCGTCTCCGCGTCCACATGATGGAAACATCTCAAAGAAATGAAAATCAGCAAACACCAGCCCACCCCCTGACCCACATGAGAAACTAGTAACTTTGTTTTAATTTTATTGAACGTCATCCTCTAGCCAGTGTTATGTGGGCAGCTGGGCATAGTCATTATTTCTTAAATCCTTTTATATTAAATTCACATTTGTTCTTGTGTTTCTTTCTTTTTTTTTTGTCTGGGTGTGTGGCTTCTTCTTCGTCTATATATCAATGGCCCACTATCAATTTATATGGCCCACTACCCGTTAACCTACCAAGCTGAAACTTGACACATAGTCTCGTTGCCGATGAAAAAAAACTGTTTTTCAAGGGAAGATGAAGGAAATAAGATGTCACTAATCTCACGAAATAAAGTTCCAGATAACTGCATTAAATTATAATTCCTTTTTTTTTTAAATCTCGCAAGTGCGTTCGGTGCGTCATATTTTCTTTTGTTTTTCTAAAACAGTTGGTGAAAAAATTCTGCGGTGTAAAAGCGGTTTGGACATTAATTGGATATTAATATAAAATAATATGAATTCATAAAAAGGATTTATAAGAAAAAATTAGTTTTTATGGGTTGTTTAATTGGTCTTCTGCCTTAGCTAATCAATTTTTAACAAGCTTCATCCATTGTCCAAGTCGATACAATAAATTTGCTAAACGTTTGCTAGGCCTTTCTTGCTTATCCATTATAAGGCACTGGTTACTAGTGCAGTCATACTTGTTGCTCAAAACAAAATGGGCAGTGTCTCATTCTCAAAAAAATAAAAAAATAAAAAAAAAAATTTTTTTTTTGCTAAATGATCTCCCAAAGTAGGCCATTGGTGTTTGACCAAACAGAGGTTTCGTCATCGTTCTCATGTTTATCCGTCTCCATTTTTCTTTGTTAAATAGCTGGAGTCAAATTCATGGAAACGGGTTATTCTCCATTAGAATGTTGCCCAATCTTATTCAGTATGGTGTTGACAGCCCGTCTGGGCATTCATATAATGAATTCTCCATCGGCGGTCTTTTAGAATTATAACTCGTTCATTGTTTGATATGAGGAGTGGAAAGGGAAATACTAGAGCCCATGAGAAAACAGTTTATGAACGAATTGTATTTCGGCCACAAACACGATGAAGTTTGGTTTGCTTTTTAATCGCTTCCTAATTATCTTCTGTAGGTGCAAGTAGAGGGGAGACAGCTATGTGTCGGTCTATGCTGAAAGACTCTGCAATCATCGCTTGTGTACTGGTTTATCTCCTCGTGAGGCTGGCCATTGGATTCCCACCGTCTGTAAGTTACTGTGGACTGTAAGTTACTGTGGACTGTAAGTTACTGTGGACTGTAAGTTACTGTGGACTGTAAGTTACTATGGACTGTAAGTTACTGTGGACTAAGTTACTGTGGACTGTAAGTTACTGTGGACTGTAAGTTACTGTGGACTGTAAGTTACTGTGGACTGTAAGTTACTGTGGACTGTAAGCTACTGTGGACTGTAAGTTACTGTGGAATGTAAGCTTCTGTGGACTGTAAGTTACTGTGGACTGTAAGTTACTGTGGAATGTAGGTTACTGTGGACTGTAAGTTACTGTGGACTGTAAGGTACTGTGGACTGTAAGTTACTGTGGACTGTAAGGTACTGTGGACTGTAAGTTACTGTGGACTGTACGTTACTGTTGTGGACTGTAAGTTACTGTGGAATGTAAGCTTCTGTGGACTGTAAGTTACTGTGGACTGTAAGTTACTGTGGAATGTAGGTTACTGTGGACTGTAAGTTACTGTGGACTGTAAGTTACTGTGGACTGTAAGTTACTGTGGACTGTAAGTTACTGTGGACTGTAAGTTACTGTGGACTGTAAGTTACTGTGGACTGTAAATTACTGTGGACTGTAAGTTACTGTGGACTGTAAGTTACTGTGGACTGTAAGTTACTGTAAACTGTAAGTTACTGTGGAATGTAAGTTACTGTGGACTGTAAGTTACTGTGGACTGTAAGTTACTGTGGACAGTAAGTTTCTGTGGACTGTAAGCTACTGTGGACTGGTTGCCTCAATAAGCTGAGATCACATACTAGCAGTGAACACCGAACAAACATCACCCACTGATCTGAACATTGTTTCAATAAGCCGTGTCCTGTTGCTACATTTACTCCAGTGGTTCCCAAAGCTTGTGCCGCGGCGAATTGGGGGAGCCACGACCCCGTCACAATGGAGCCGCGAAATGTTACACAATTGATTTAGCCGTTGACGAAATTCTTCGCTTTATCGCAGTGTCCCCTTGTGATTTTACTCTGGGTGCCTTGGATTCATCCCATTGCGCTGAGAATCGAAAAAAAACTTTTGGGGAAACACTGATTTATTATTCATTTATGTAAACTCAGAACATCGTCAACAAATAGTTCATGTTCAAACAAAGTCCTTATTTGACCAAACGAATTTAGACCGACCATTCGTTTCAGGCAGACTATTCCATCTGGTTGTGGGTCTGTTGGTTTGTTTGTTGTTTGATGTTTTCCATAATGGGTGTATTTTGCGATTTCACAATCTGTGTGTGCATGCTGTCCAGTCAGTAAACCCAAGTCATGATGCAAGACCTTACCAAAATAAACGCCTGTTTTATTTTCAGTCGTGGAAGGTGGTACGGAGGTCTCTGGGACCAGCGGATGAATACGGAGCCCCGGAGTCACGCTATTTGAGTAGGTGGCGCTGCATGCCGCGCGCGTAGCCCAATACAGTCCGATGTTGCGTGAATGAGTGCAGTGTAAATAATGTTAACACCGATTAACAAAGTAACTACTAATATGTTAATATGAACATCTCTCTAAATATGCCATGCCATTAACAGGGCGATCATTTCTGTAATAATCAATAAATTTATATGTTGGTTTCTTGTGTCGTCACTAAGCAATTTGCATCTGTAGAGTTACAGCGTTTTCAGTTTATATAAATTTAAAGTTTTAAAAGTTTTATAAAATAAAAAAATATCGTATCCGGAAATTTGTTTGAAAGAAATTTCGTCGACGGAAAATTGATCGACGGAAGTTTAATCGAACGGAGACATTGTCGTCTTTTTTCAATTCACACCTTAAAATTTTACGTCAAATTTCTTTTTGAACGCATTATTTTGTCTTACTATATAGTATAGTGTGTTCAACGAGAAATTTGACGAAAATCTGATCGTGGGAACTGAAAAATAAATTCTATTAAATTTCCATCGGATCAAGCTTCCATCGATCAAATGTCCGTAGAGCAAAAGTATTTCAAACAAATTACCGATAACCAAACAATATATATTAATTTTAAAAATATTTTTTTTTAAAAACCCTTTTAAAAAAGATGAACTGCAAATTATAAAATAAATTTCCCCCAAAACTTCAGAGTTGTTACAGTCACATGACTTCAGAGTTTTTACAGTCACATGACTTCAGAACTGTTACAGTCACATGACTTCAGAGCTTTTACAGTCACACAACTTCAAAGTTGTTACAGTCACATGACTTCAGATTTGTTACAGTCACATGACTTCAGAGTTGTTACATTCAAAAAACTTTATAGTTGTTACAGTAACAAAAAATTAGAGTTTTTACAGTCACAAAACTTTAGAGTTGTTACTTTCACATGCCGAAAAACCCTTTAAAAAAAGCATATCAAAAGAATATATTTTATTTTCTTTAAAAATCTTCCGTTTGAAAACCTTTGCGATGACATAAAAATTGACTTTCAAACCTTAGTTTCTACTTTTAACTTCCTGAATTTTGTTGTTAGACTTAAACGAGTTAACTGTTAGATAGTGTGGCTATTTAATGTATGGTGTTTGTGAAAATTGCATGAGAATACACTGTGGCACATAGGAGCAAATATTATTGTAACATAGTTAAATGCCAAACATAACGCTTACATATAAATGCTAATATCGCCTCTCTCTCTCTCTTTCTATGTCTCCCTCTCTTTCTATCTGTTTCTCTCTCTCTCTCTCTCTCTCTCTCTCTCTTTCTATATATATATATACTCTTTCCAACTCGCCATTCCCTGTTTATCTGCATGTATTTCTTGTCTGCTACCTTATATACAATGTGCATGTTTCTCTCTTTTATCTGTGTGTATTTTTTGTCTGTTATCTTATATATAATGTGTATTTTTCTCTCTCTCTCTCTCTATATATATATATATATATATATATATATATATATATATATATATATGTATGTATGTATATATATATATATTATAAGATAAGATAAAATTCTTTTATTGATCCAAACAAATGGAAATGCTTTTGATTGCATTGTACATTTTCAGCATAAATAATAAAACAATTTGAACACGAGACATTCACATTAAATTATTTTAGTTCTCTCACTTTCTCTCCATCTCTCTCTCTCCCCTTCGCTCACTCACTTTTTTATTTCTGTCCCTCTTTCAGTCTGCCCCTTTCTATATCTTTCTATCTTTCCTTCGCACCCTCTCTCCATTATTTTCTCACTTCATACTTTCTCTCACTTTCTCTCTCTCTCTCTTTCTCCCTCCCACTCTCTCTCTCTCTCTCTCTCTCTCTCTCTTTCTCTCACTTTCTCTCATTCTTTCAGTCGAGCTCGACTAGTTCAGCTCTGCATCGTTATAGAAGCACAATAAGTCAACGACCTCAATTAGTTAACCAAATTTTGAAAATGAATTACTTTCATCATCTGTACACATCATGTACACAAATATATCTGTACACGCCAGTCGCACACTCAATCGCTTCCACACACCTTAGCCAGAAACAAACTTCTTTTCACTAAGGACTCTCCACCACACCACCCCCTCCCTCAACCTCCTAACTCCCCAAAAAGGAAACTTGTTAATAGTTAACTATTTTTTTTTCAGAATTGAAAACTTGTAACTAAATATTATTACTGCTCGGCGCTAGCAGTTTTTCTTCACTTTTTAAGAATTTCTTTTATTTATTTTTTTTATTATTTTTTTTTTTTTGGTTTTCACTGTTGGCGTCCGGGTATTTTTAGAAACTCCCCCGTGGGTCCGGATGTTACAAAAAAGTTATCTTCTCATCTTCACTGACGTGTTCCAGCCAATGGGGAGAAGTGCATGTATAGAATCAGAAGTCATCACGAAAGTCTAAAAAAAAAAAATGAAAATATAAGGCTAACCCAGCGGTTCGCAAACATTTTAGGGGTCTTGAGCCCATTAATAAAATTTCCCTAGTTGCCGCGACCCTTAACCAGAATTATACCTTGAAATTGAGAAACACTTTTTTGAGAAAAAGGGGAGGGGGCAAAGCTTTCTTTGTAGATTTCTTAGATGTTGGTAGTGTAATTGTGATCGGGGTGGGGGGGGGGGGAGGGAAGGCGTTTTAAGGTCTAAAAATGTTGTAGGCTTATGTAAAGGGGAGCTGTGGCTCTGAAAATCAATCTTTAGAATTTTTTTTTTTTTGAAAAATACAAACACGTGGACATAGCTTTGCGTGCAAGCTGGCAACTTCTCACTTGAGGCACACGCAGTAAAAAAACAAACAACGAAATAAAAAATAAATCAAATTCTATGTAATATACTTTTAATGAAAAGAAACTGTCAAAATATTGATATTATGTTAGAGCCTGAAATCTACCGAAAGAATCATAGTTTCTACAATTTTATTTTATGCAGCTGTAGTGTAGTGGTAGCAGTAGTGTAGTATTAGTAGTAGTGGTGGTGTAGTAGTGGCGTAGCAGCGATAATAAAGTAATCCAGTCGCTATTAATAATATTTAAATGTTAGAAAATGAAAAAAAAAAAGCACATTTTACACACAATTCCTCACCCAACTTCATATTTCTGAAATTCTCTAGCGACCCCTGACTTTTTGTCAGGCAAAACCCACAGCTTGAGAGATACTGCTCTAATCCACAGGTTGAGGGACACTGCCCTAACCCAGAAACATAGCACAAATAAAATAATGAGCGGAGCTTCGCAATATGTGTTATTGTTCCTAGTCGCTGGTTGGTTAGCGGTGTTCATTCTTCTGACACCAACGTACGCATATTATGTTAATGAATATTGTATATCATCATTATGACGATTACCGTCCCAGCCGTCTTTTAGCTAAACCCATTACTACATTTATTAAATTGGTGTTAAATTACATTACCAATATTAAATCTCTATGACACACCTTAGAAATGATTCACGACCACAAACAAGAATGCTGGCTATTCATTATCATCAAAATGTCAGCATGTGAAATGAAATACTTAGTGTAAATAGAAAGTGCTACGGTCATAACAAAAGATCGGCGTCTTGCTAAGACAAATAATTAGCACAAAATACGCAGCAAGTACATTATTATTTTTTCAGCTTTGCTGTTTCATTTAGTTGCGGACAACGTGTTAGTCTTCCGTTATTACTTATATAATTCATATAAAATGTAAAAAAAAAAAAAAAGTAAAAAAAAAAATGTAATGGATCTGTACGTGGACTTTTCATTTCTCTACATAAGGTGGGAACACTTGATAGAAAATGAGAAGATAACTCTTTTCTTCCCTCTCCGAGACCGACCCGGTTCCGGCTTTTGCTGGGTCCTGGTTTGTGCCGGGTGTCTAATACTCTGCATATCCGGGATATCCAGCCAGTACCCGGCTCCGCCCTTGCTGGTCCGGGTATGTGCCGAGTGTGCTAATGCTCTGCATATCCGGGTATCCGGTCATTACCCGGCTCAGCCCTTGCTTGTACTTGATAAATGGTACATCCGTTTTCACATTTCTACGAATAAAATTTTCAAATATTGCATATGACTTATTATTTCAAAAATTGCCCTCTTTCAGTATTTTTCTTCCACAAATTTCATCGAAACTCCTGTTTTGCCTTCTAGCATGTGATGATCCTCTGATCCGTTCCGAGCCAGGCGCTTACACCTACGTCAGCGACGGCGTGAAGAGGCTATGCTCCCTGTATGTGGCAGCACCGGTTGATCACGTGGTTGAGATTGAATTTGTCTATCTGGATGTCAGCTGTGAGGAGGACGGGGCGGTTGTGGTAGCCACACATAGCATCATTCACGTTGTCATTTTGAGTTGTTGTGGTAGCCACACATAGCATCATTCACGTTGTCATTTTGAGTTGTTGTGGTCGCCACACATAGCATCATTCACGTTGTCATTTTGAGTTGTTGTGGTAGCCACACATAGCATCATTCACGTTGTCATTTTGAGTTGTTGTGGTAGCCACACATAGCATCATTCACGTTGTCATTTTGAGTTGTTGTGGTAGCCACACATAGCATCATTCACGTTGTCATTTTGAGTTGTTGTGGTAGCCACACATAGCATCATTCACGTTGTCATTTTGAGTTGTTGTGGTAGCCACACATAGCATCATTCACGTTGTCATTTTGAGTTTTTGTGGTAGCCACACATAGCATGATTCACGATGTCATTTTGAGTTGTTGTGGCAGCCACACATAGCATCATTCACGTTGTCATTTTGAGTTTTTGTGGTAGCCACACATAGCATCATTCACGTTGTCATTTTGAGTTGTTTTATTTGTTTTGGTTGTTTTTTAACACTTAGTTTTAAATTTTAATATCTCTTTAACTAGGCCATTCCAATGGTTACTTTCATACCGTAGAACAGGGGTGGGAAAACTACGGCCCGCGGGCCACATACAGCCCGGAAATTTATATTATGCGGCCCTCGAGGGAATTTAGAAATAACAAAAATTACTTTGTTTTAAGTTATGTTGTTGAATTTTACAGAATTTCCTGTACCGTTATGATCGTTTTAACATTTTTGATCAAATTTCTTTCTAGCTTTCTATTTTTTGAAACAGTCCTTAACTTTTGTCATGTAATGCTAAAATATGAATTTACCGATTTTAATATCGAGAAATGCTTATCGATATGTAAAAATTGGACATAATGTACATGCCCACCCCCCCCCCCAATCAAACAGCTTCACATTTGTCAATGTGACCGTCCGTACATAGAGAAATGCTTATCGATATGTAAAAATTGGACATAATGTACATGCCCACCCCCCCCCCCCCAATCAAACAGCTTCACATTTGTCAATGTGACCGTCCGTACAAAAAGGTTGCACACCCCTTCTGTGGAGCGTCAGTCATCCGAACACCAACAGACTAAAGTGTCGTTTTTCCGCACCTTCTCCGTCTTCTCATAACAATTATTCGTATCAAGTGCAATGCGCAAGATTTCGAGCATTTACGTACAAATTTCGAAAAACAAATCTGACCTCTTTTTCGTAAAATGCTGGTTAAATCAACAGTTGAGCAAGGGATATTTAATGACTCCTCAAACATAATACAGCAGACAATAGAGCAGTACACATGATTAAGGTAATAATTTATTGTATTCTATGCACTAAATTTCTACCTAACTTTTCCGTTGTGTTGTTCGGTTTCCCAAGAAAAAAAAAATGTTTATCCGAATAGTTCGGATAATAAACGTTCTACTGTTCAAAAGTTTTTTGTTTTTTTTTATATTCTCTATTGCATACAAATACAATTTTGTAGCATGCAGTACTCAACTTTGTTGCCAGTTCAGTATTTTTGTTTGAAAATTGACATGGGTTATGTCTTTGTTCTGGTATGTGTGTGTTTTTCGTATGTTAGTCTCTCTATTTGAAAAAAAAATATTTGTTGAAAAGTAAAAATGTTGTTGTTGTTGTTCTTTTTTGTATTATGTGAAAAACAAATATTTTTTTTTAAATTAAATGTCTTGGGTTGTTGTTTTTTTTATATTAGTGTTTCTATGTGGAAAAAAATTAATTAATTGTTAAAAAAAAAAAAAAGAAGATATTTACAGTATTGATATTCCACAGCTTTTTTTGTTGTTTTTCTTTTTTGTATTATGTGAAAAACAAATATTTTTTTTTAAATTAAATGTCTTGGGTTGTTTTTTTTTTATATTAGTGTTTCTATGTGGAAAAAAATTAATTAATTGTTAAAAAAAAAAAAAAGAAGATATTTACAGTATTGATATTCCACAGCTTTTAGACGGATGGGAGCTGGACCATGAAATATTCCCCAGCCCCAATGACCACCCCCAGCCGATGACCGCCAGGTATTTACCATTTTGTGGTCAGATGACGCCGACAGAGGTGTACACCACAGGACAGAACATTGCGCAGCTGCACTTCGTCGTGCCTACCCTGGGGGAAGGCTTTACGATTGTCCTCAACTTCCTCGTCAACCCGAAGCGTAAGTTGTCCGACCAAATGAATGGAGGTTTGGTTGTGCGTCACAAATCGAATACAGCTATCAGTGTATAAGTAGACTTCATGTTTAAAATTTGAGAAAAAATACACTATCGGGGCACATATTTCTGAAATGTAAGCGACCGAAAAAAAGTTTAAAAGGTTGCTGCGGTGAAACTGAAATCTTTATCTGAATAAATATGTCGGAGACTTTAAGCTATCTGAAAAAAGATTTCAGAGATGTAAGGTATCCTTTATTAGCATTGGATGATGGTAGTACCAGCTGACATTTAAGTTAACTGATTTTAACTTGATTCCTTCATATTCCCCAGCTTGTAACATGATTCCTGTATGTTACCCAGCTTGTAACATGGTTCCTTTATGTTACCCAGCTTGTAACATGATACCTTTATGTTCCCCAGCTTGTAACAAGATACCTTTATGTTCCCCAGCTTGTAACAAGATACCTTTATATTCCCCAGCTTGTAACAAGATACCTTTATGTTCCCCAGCTGGTAACAAGATACCTTTATGTTCCCCAGCTTGTAACAAGATACCTTTATGTTCCACAGCTTGTAACATGATACCTTTATATTCCCCAGCTTGTAACAAGATACCTTTATGTTCCCCAGCTTGTAACATGATTCCTGTATGTTCCCCAGCTTGTAACAAGATACCTTTATGTTCCCCAGCTTGTAACATGATTCCTTTATGTTCCCCAGCTTGTAACAAGATACCTTTATGTTCCCCAGCTTGTAACAAGATACCTTTATGTTCCCCAGCTTGTAACAAGATACCTTTATGTTCCCCAGCTTGTAACAAGATACCTTTATGTTCCCCAGCTTGTAACAAGATACATTTATGTTCCCCAGCTTGTAACAAGATACCTTTATGTTCCCTAGCTTGTAACAAGATACCTTTATGTTCCCCAGCTTGTAACAAGATACCTTTATATTCCCCAGCTTGTAACATGATTGCTTTATGTTCCCCAGCTTGTCACAAGATACCTTTATATTCCCAAGCTTATAACATGATACCTTTATGTTCCCCAACTTGTAACAAGATACCTTTATATTCACCAGCTTGTAACATGACTCATTTATATTTCCCAGCTTGTAACATGATTCGTCTTTATTCCCCAGCTTGTAACATGATCCCTTTATATTCCACAGCTTATACCGTGATTCCCTTATAATCCCCATCATGTTAAGTGATTGCCCTATATTGCCCAGCTTGTAAAGTGATTCCCATATATTCCCCAGCTCGTAGAGTAATTCCCTTATATTCCCCGGCTTGTAACGTGATTCCGCTATTTCCCCATCATGTAAAGTGATTCCCTACCTTCCCCAGTAGTTTGTAACGTGATTCCTTTATTTTCCCTAGCGTGTAATATGATGCTACTGACCAACAAGTACGATAAGATTCAACTCACCAACTTTGGTCTCAGGCGGAACTGTACTGTCATGTCTTTGTATCCACAGCGAGTACAGTTGTCATATGTCAGTGTTGGTAAGTGGTAATATGTCAATGTTGGTAAGTTGTCATAATATGTCAATGTTGGTAAGTTGTCATAATATTTCAATGTTGGTAAGTTGTCATAATATGTCAATGTTGGTAAGTTGTCATAATATGTCAATGTTAGTAAGTTGTCATAATATGTCAGTGTTAGTAAGTTGTCTTTATATGTCAATGTTGGTAAGTTGTCATAATATGTCAATGTTAGTAAGTTGTCATAACATGTAAATGTTGGTAAGTTGTCATAATATGTCAATGTTGGTAAGTTTTCATAATATGTCACTGTTAGAAGGTTGTCATAACATGTCAATATTGGTAAGTTGTCATAATATGTCAATGTTGGTAAGTTGTCATAATATGTAAATATTGGTAAGTTGTCATAATATTTAAATGTTGGTAAGTTGTCATAATATGTCACTGTTAGTATGTTGTCATAATATGTCAATGTTGGTAAGTTTTCATGCGTCAATTGTCGTAACTTGCTGTCCATTTTGGTAAGAATGTATCTGTCCTAGTTGGTAAATTTCCAATTTACGTAAGTGAATGTTGGTTAATGATCATATATCGTATCTTCAAGATGTCCAGATTATAACACAACACAATTGTGGCAATTAATGTTCCACTACAGGTGAGAGAGAACCAAATGACGAATTTGACACAAGCGCTGGACTAAGGAGTTTGGTAAATATTGAAACCGGTGGTGTACAACATACGGCTTGCGGGCCACATCAAGCCAACTGAAACGTTCCATAGAGCCAGCAAGAGAAATTAATGCTTTATGAGAAATGCATTTTTTTTTCTTTTTTAGAATATATAAATGAATGAGTATCTGTAAAAAGCTTTTGAAAATGAATCAAAATATACCAGTCTTAATAATATACACAGCAAATTTTAATACACATCATTCCACCTCTTACATTCGAGAAGAACTCGGAGTGAATTTTCGACCCTAGATTCCTATCAAATTGCCATGCGTACAGCAAAAAAAAAAACATTATATTAATCATGCCGTCCATCTGCATAAAAAAGGACTGCTCACCCCCTGGTTTAAACAGAAGACACTCCTGGTTTAAACAGAAAACACCCCCTGATTTAAACAGACGACACTCCCTGGTTTAAACAGAAGACACACCCCTGGTTTAAACAGAAGACACTCCCTGGATTAAAAAGAAGGCATTCCCTGGTTTAAACAGAAGACATCCCCTTATTTAAACAGAAGACACACCCCTCGATTAAACAGAAGACACCCCCTGGTTTAAACAGAAGACACTCCCTGGTTTAAACAGAAGACATCCCCTTATTTAAACAGAAGACACACCCCTTGATTAAACAGAAGACACCCCCTGGTTTAAACAGAAGACATCCCCAGGTTTAAACCGAAAACACCCCCTGGTTTAAACAAAAAACACCCCCCTGGTTTAAACAAAAAACACCCCCCTGGTTTAAACAGAAAACACTCTACAACACTGGTGGGGTTTTTTTTTAGCGTCTTACAAACTTATATGTCACATAATGACGAACGTGAGTGAATATCTCCGATAGCAAGTAAATTTTAGCATGATTGTAACTTTATCTAAGTCATAAGGTAAGACTGTGAAATAAACGGTGGTGGCCGTGTATACGCAATCTGCTTAAAGGCAGACAAGCATCAAGCATTAAAGGGCAATGTAATCAAAATACTTTTCCCTTTGATCAATAAATGATTATTATCTTTTCTTATAATAAGAGACCGATTTGATAGACTGATAGAAGGACCTCTGATTTTAAAAGGGGAAAAAAATCCTCACTACGTGCCCAATCAGACACCATTACGGCCTGTCACATCGGATTTGAATTCCTCCATTTTGACCCATCGGTCGAAGATTTGGTCAGATATATAGTACAATAAATGACTTGATGAAACGCACCGCCACTTTTTTTTTTTTTAATTTATTTATTTTGTATCACAACATACTGTTATTTTTATGAGGGTGGACGTCGATGAATTATATTTAAGAAGAAAAAAAAAACTCCTACGCCTCAAAACGACCGAATGGTGATGTTTTTCAGTGTTCAAGTGAAGGGGGACTGGACAGGGTTCAGTTGTACCAAGGCACAGGGGTAGGCTCCCTTGGAAGGAGACTCGTTTTGGAGTTTTGTGGCGTTCGACAGACCAGTGGTGAGTTCATGACGCCACCGTCCTAATGATCTTTTTTATCTCATCCCTAATGATCTTTTTTTATCTCATACATAATGATCTTTTTTATCTCATCCCTAATGATCTTTTTTATCTCATCCTTAATGATTTTTTGTTATCTCATCCCTAATGATCTTTTTTATCTCATCCTAATGATCTTTTTTATCTCATCCCAAATGATCTTTTTTATCTCATCCCTAATGATCTTTTTTTATCTCATCCCTAATGATATTTTTTTATCTCATCCCTAATGGTCTTTTTTTTTAGCTCATACTAAAATATATTGCCCAAAAAAAAATATTCTAGACTGTTCCGAGATACATGATAAAATTCTGATGTTTGGATAGTCACGTTTTCATGGACACGTGTCTATTTCCCCTAACTCTAGCTCCTAGAGCGGTCAAGCTCAGGTGCCATAGTTCTGCCATCCGATTGGAATCCAGCGGCCTGTTTGATAATGTGATCAAGTTTGACTTCCTCCCAGCAGAGAGAGACGACGGGATTTTCTGCTAGTAGTTGATGAAAACTTGGCTCCTCGTTGGATGTCTTGGCTGACACGCAAAGAACCAGCTTTTTCGGGGGTTTTATTTATTTAAACAAGAAATAAAAAATGAATACATATTAAAAGATTAATTATGAAAAGTCTATTGTATTTTTTTTTTTTTTTTTTTTTTTTTTTTTTTTTTTCTTTTTTTTTTTTAAAAACCCCCCCCTCCCCCACTCCCCCCTTTTTTTTNCTACGGATATTGTGAAGGACAGTCTATAGGACTATTGTTTAAAGGCTGTCAGGTAGGGTGTGTAAGACTGTCTGTATGGCTATTGTTTAAAGGCTGTCAGGTAGGGTGTGTATGACTGTCTGTATGGCTATTGTTTAAAGCTGTCAGGTAAGGTGTAGGACTGTCTGTATGGCTATTGTTTAAAGCTGTCAGGTAGGGTGTGTAGGACTGTCTGTATGGCTATAGTTTAAAGCTGTCAGGTAGGGTGTAGGACTGTCTGTATGGCTATTGTTTAAAGCTGTCAGGTAGGGTGTAGGACTGTCTGTATGGCTATTGTTTAAAGCTGTCAGGTATGGTGTGTAAGACTGTCTGTATGGCTATTGTTTAAAGCTGTCAGGTAAGGTGTAGGACTGTCTATATGGCTATTGTTTAAAGCTGTCAGGTAGGGTGTGTAGGACTGTCTGTATCGCTATAGTTTAAAGCTGTCAGGTATGGTGTAGGACTGTCTGCATGGCTATAGTTTAAAGGCTGTCAGGTATGGTGTGTAGGACTGTCTGTATCGCTATTGTTTAAAGCTGTCAGGTAGGGTGTAGGACTGTCTGCATGGCTTTAGTTTAAAGGCTGTCAGGTATGGTGTGTAGGACTGTCTGTATCGCTAGTGTTTAAAGCTGTCAGGTAGGGTGTAGGACTGTCTGCATGGCTATAGTTTAAAGGCTGTCAGGTATGGTGTGTAAGACTGTCTGTATGCATGGCTATTGTTTAAAGGCTGGCATATATTTTTTTTTTTAAAGAGAAGTTAACTCTTTTTTTTTTTTTGTAAAACTTGGACTGACTGGGTAATTTCTCAAAATACCCGGTACCGGGATAAAAAGACTGAGCCCTGATAAGCCATAGTATTTCTTTTATTGACTACATCTTGTACCTCTATTTGCTAAAAATCCTACGTTAGTACATTAAATATTATTTGAATGCAAGGACAGTGTTTCTCAGACATGGGCCTATTTAAAACAATGTTTTAACAAAGATTTGTTTCACAAGAGAGCTAAAACTTAAAAAGATAAATTTCAAACATATTAGAGCAGCGGTTCTCAACCTGTGGGTCGGGGGACCCTTTTCCAGGGGTCGCCTAAGACCATCTGAAAACATATATCCTTACAGCTATGAAGTAGCAACGAAAATAATTGTGTGGCTGGGGGTCGCCACGACACGAAAAACTGTATTAAGGGGTCGCGACACTAGAAAGGTTGAGAACCACTGTATTAGAGAATCGTTAAAATCTCAAGAAAAAAATGTTTTTAAAAAAAACTAAAAGAATTACCAGTCATTTATAAACATTTCTTGTTATTTCAGTTAATTAAATTATATTGAAATTATTTAACTCATTAGGTTAAGTGCTATTAGTAGGCCTACACATAATTTTTCTTCCACTGACAGAACAGCAGTCACTGGTAGAATTGCCAGTAATATTATTGTCAGAAGCAGTACGGCCACTAAGAGTAGTGCCATTTATAGAGTGACCTTGACCATCATGGCGTTAGCAGCACTGCCACAAACAGCAGTGGCCCTTATAGAGTGACCTTGACCGTCATGGCACGCTAGCAGTACTGCCCAATGCAGCATTGCCCCTTGAAGTGGTACTTCTAAAAATACTAGCAACTCTATCATCAACATTACTGTGTCTAATACTAACGCTTTAACGCCACTGGCAGTCCTTCCATCCACAAATAGTATTACCACAAATTTACAAGGCAAGGCGTAGGAAGGTGGCACTTTTTTCTTTATCCATAGGGGTGGCATTTGCCACCTACAGCAGAGTTTTATCCAGAGAGACGCCATTTTCCACCTACAGCAGAGTTTTATCCAGAGGGGCGGCATTTGCCACCTACAGCAGAGTTTTATCCATAGGGGCGGCATTTTCCACCTACAGCAGAGTTTTATCCATAGGGGCGGCATTTTCCACCTACAGCAGAGTTTTATCCATTAGGGGCGGCATTTTCCTCCTACAGCAGAGTTTTATCCATAGGGGCGGCATTTTCCACCTACAGCAGAGTTTTATCCATGAAAGGGGGGCTGAAAAAATTCTCAACCCACCCCAGGTGGCGCCGAGAAAGAAAAAAAAACCCGCTCCTCCATTTCTGCCCTGATACTCATAGTAGGTTACTTAAACTGAAAGCACTACAAATGAAACGACTGCCACTCATTCTAATGGTTCATTCATGCAGCGACTTCAAGGCAAACATTTGAGACTTGGATTGACAAAAACATTAAGCAATAAGACCAACAAAACAAAAAATCATCAAAAAGGAATTATTGTTATATACTATTTTATTTGGTCGACTTTGTAATGTGTTCCGCTTTCAGTAGATATCGCGCGGAACTTTATCCATAATCAGTTTCTGCACAAACTTTTGTTTTCTTTTAAAAAATCTTGGTGATCAATTTTATTATAGAACCTGTAAATAAAATATTCATAGACGCTTGGAAGTAATGGTGAAGTTGTATCCTCGTTAAAAGTAATAATTTTTTCGAAAAACCTTCGAGGGACGTTTTTATCTTGTTAATAGTGACAGTCTAAAGAGATAGCCCATGATGAAATTCATTGGCCTAGCTACAATACAACATAATCATAACAGCTATGTGATACAATATAATCATGACATCTGTACAATATAACATGACATGACATTTATAGAGCTATACAAGACTACTTAATCCTGTCAGAGTTCAGTCTTTTACCTTTCGTTACGCTCCTCCAAACAATCCTGGCAAAGTGAAAATGTTATAAAATATGTACGGGTACAATACAAAATGATGTGCTGAAAATATTTCAATATTTTACTATTTTATTTTAACTTGATTACATTGGGGAAAATCAGTAAACAATACAATATGCAACCCCACTCATGAGGGTATTGCGGTAAAAAAAATAATATTCAAACTCAGTAAACAGGGTATTGGGGTAAACAACACAATATTTAACGCCACAGACCAGTGATTATAGTTTTGAAAAAAAAGTTATCCCTATTCCGGATACAGCATCTTAAACGATATTTAAGGAGAGTACCAGAAAATTTGGGTGAGGGGAGCGGGGGGGGGCGACACTTCAATCACAGCGCACACCCAGGACACAGAGTAGTACATATTCAGATCAAGAAAATCCATTCACATTCATTATTTTAACACTAAGAATATTTTCTTTTAAATTATTTTTTACACATATTTCAATTAAAAATAAATTTCTTAAAAATCAAATGGACCCTGTCTGTAGAAAAAAACGATGTCCAACGCCTTTTTTTAACATGAACAATATTTGTTTAAATAATTTTAAAATAATTTAACAAGTTGCGAAAGACTGGTAAGTAGAGTCGCTCTGCAATGGTAAGGACCGGTAGTTATTTTTCTATGTTGAAAAAAAACAAGATGCTACTTACCTCCAAACAAACCGCCCGCTCCCATTCCACCTGGGGGAAATAATTCAAGATGGTTCAAGAGTACACATTTATTGAAACAATTTTAATTGATCAGGAGTTTTAAAATGATCATCGTGGAGACCAAAGCAAGTTGTAACTTTTTGCCACATGAACATTTAAACAAAATTATTTTTATTTAAGCAGACTCTGATTTTTTTTTTTTTTTAAACAACAAATATGATGTTTGCACAAACTAAGAAGATTAATTTGCGCGTAATTTCATAGAATAAATGCATACAAACTAAATGAAATGTTTTCCGGGTAACTCATGTTTTTTTAATGTTAAATTTTATTATTTTTAAAGGAAATATTTGTATTGTATATCAAGTAGAAGAAATCTGTGGTCCGGTATACTGACATCTGGTGAAAAAGTAGTTGAGCCAAATTATCAAATTCCTCTCATTACTTGAGTGGAAACGTGCAATTTTATTGGAAGCTAATTTTATAAATTTCTTCCTCGGTGTTCATGAATTTTGTAGAAGAAACCGCAAAGGAATAGTTTGGCAGTTAAGAGGATCTCTAAGCGGAAATAGACCTTTTTTTCCCAAAGGTTTGTATAGACTAAAACTATACTATTTGAGATATGTTTTACAAAATTTAATACATCTTTATAAAATTCCTTGTTATTTTAATCTATTGACCGTACCTCCGCCACCGAGTCCAAGCATAGCAGGATCTAACGAAGAAATAAGGAAAATATGAATGTAAACATTGTGTCAGTGTTTTACACTTCTATTTCTTTTTTAAATGGAATTTCTTAGGAATCGTAAAATCTCCTGGAAAACTTTAAGAAAAAAAGACTATGGCAAAAAAAAAAAAAAAAAAAAAAAAATTCTATAACTTTGCTTTTGGCATTTGTAGCCATGTGACATGGCGTCAAAATGAAAACCGTTTGCATTTTTGTCAAAAGATGAAAAAAAAAAAAAAAAAAAAAAAATTTTTTTAATGGAATTTCTTAGGAATCGTAAAAACACCTGGAAAAATTTAAGAAAAAAAGACTAAGGCAAAAAAAAAAAAAAAAAAGAAAACTTCTATAACTTTGCTTTTGGCATTTGTAGCCATGTGACATGGCGTCTAAATGAAAACCGTTTGCATTTTTGACAACTGATTGAAACAAGAACAAAACATAAAAAATCCATCGCATCACATCATCTCCTACACTGGCCTAAATAGGTAAGTTGCCAGGCAAGGAAACAACCGGTTCTGCCTTGTTGGTTGTAGAAAAAAAAAAAAAATTTTTAAAAGAACTATTCCTATTTATTTATGTATTGTCTTTTCAACCCGAGCTGAAAATAATAACTATCAACTTGAATGCAGGAGCACAAGACCTAAGGGTTTCAAAAGAATTGGGGGGGGGGGGGGGTTGGCTCCTACCAGCACCTTCTGTTTTTATGACAGTAATATTGTTAGAAAATGTTCTGAAAGTGTCGTCAAAATTTTACCAGCGCACT